TTGGGCCCTCTGGATGCCTAAGGGGAAACCAGAGGCTGTCTGTATTAAAATAGCATGGTTTGAAGGTTGGTTCTGTCTCTCTGCCCCTCTTCTGGAGTTATTATTGTCAGTCCAGCCTTGCTAAAGGGCATGCAGAGGAGGCCAGAGGGGCAGGTAATGCTGTTGATTAACGTTCCCTCTGGGCAGACTCCTGCTGCTATTCTGTGCCTCCATTGAAATACCAAGTAGCACTTCCTGAACACCTACCTTCTGTGTGATGAGCATGGATGTTCGAAACTTTCACTTCTGTCATCAATCTTCAAACAACCCTGAAAAATAGGTATTGTTTTATATTTGAAGAGATAGAGACTGAGAGAAGGCAAGGAACTTGCCCCAAGTCACACAGCAGTCGTTGTCACAGCTGAGAATTCCAGTTCAGGACTGTCTGCCTTCAGTGCTTCTCGTACACTTCAAAGTTCTGTACACATGCTGGTTGCTTCCAGGAAGGGAAGAGAAAGGCAAATATGAAGAGTGCTTAGGGTTAATGCTCATTCCTTGTCCACTTCCCTCCGAGGCACCACCGTCACCGCGTCCCTGCCAACTGTCCTAAAAAGAAATTGTTTTGGCTGTCCAGGTTTCCTCCATAAATTGGAGCAGCATCTGGTCTTTGCAGAGAGCCAGGCATTCCAGGAGCCCATAACCGAGGGTCCGGATGACTCCTGGTTTGAACGACCAGCTGGCACCAACTCCCCTGGGAATGTCTGTGGGCAAAGTCTGATCTGCAGACCGGTTATTCATTTGCCCAAATTAGGAGACCCAGGAAAATGGTTCTGTTTATAGGCCCCAGAGATAATCTGAATCCCAAGTCTGTACCCCCTTCTTTAGTGTTCCTATAAAAATGCTGTTTCCATGTGAGAGCCCTGCCCCCCGCCAGCTCCCTGCCCCCCGCCCCCCACCCCAAGCACCAGTGCTCATGGAATCCAGAGGAAGTCAGAGCGCTGCATCTTCCCAGGCATCCACACTGGGGCGGGTGGGGTGTCTCTGCCTTTGCATACTCCACAATCCCTTCTCCAGAATCCATAATGCCAAACCATGCTGAAAACAGGGTTCTTTCCTACGTGCGTCATCCAAAACTCACTAATGGCAAAAAACAGACCCAACTTTATGCTCTTTATTATTCCCTATGCTTTTATTTATCTGTTTTATTTTATTTGTTTTAATGTTTTATTTATTTTTGAGAGAGAGAGAGAGAGAGACAGAGCCTGAGCAGGGGAGGGGCAGAGAGAGGAGACACAGAATCCAAGGCAGGCAGGCAGGCAGGCTCCAGGCTCTGAGCTGTCAGCGCAAAGCCCAATGCGGGGCTCGAACTCACGAACCATGAGATCATGACCTGAGCTGAAGTCAGACGCTTAACTGACTGAGCCACTCAGGGGCCCCTATTTATCCTTTTTAGTATGAATATGCATATGCTTTGCTGCAGAAATCCAAACTAATGAGTTTGATTATGGGTGTGCTGCTGCAGTAGAATGCCATGTAATGGTGGTATTTACATCACATTTTCTTTCTAAAATCCAAAACATGGTGGAGTCTGGCTGCATGGGTTCCAGTTAGGAGGTTGTGGTCTTGTTGTTTTATAATGCACTATATTCAAGCAAGAAGGTTAGCTCCTGACCAGGAAGTAAATGTCTTACTTAGATTCATAAAGAAAGCCTTCCCAACTCTCTGTGGTCAGACTCGGTGCCTCGCTCCATCGCCAACGGCTTCATCCTTCTGCCTTCTCTGAGAGGTGGATGAAACCAGAAGTCACTTACATTTTTATGTGAATTAGTCCTTTTAGATTTATCCTCCATGGAACAAGGCAGCTTGAGACAAGTGGGTACTTATAGAGGGCCACCGAGGGCTATTGGGAAGGAAGACAGGACAAGACAGAGGTCTCACAAATCGCAGGCACTGGGGTTGGCAGATAGTCGGGCAGAGCGCCTGCAGGACAGACAGGTGGCGCTGGGGAGGGATCTAAACAGCTTAGAGCCAGGCCAGGACGATGGGCGAGGTAGCCTGGGCTTGCACTGCTGATCTCCGCTCTGTAGCACACGAAGCGCAGCCATCTAGTGGCTTTCAAACTGCATAAACCCTTTCCTTGGCAGGGGCCCTCCTGGCGGTCCTGGGTCCAGACCAGGGGAAAGGTCCCGCACATTGGCTCCGCAGCTCTCCAGGAGGGCCCGAGCAGGAACGGCAGGTGCCAAACCCGGTGGTGGCAAAAGTGCAGGTGGCCGCAGGCGGCTCCACCCAGGGTGGAACGAGAGACAGTTTTCTAATTGCGGGTGGCGAGGCCCAGGGCGTCTTGGGCCTCTTCTCTCCCATTTTTATGGGTTCCTGGTTGTTTACAAATGGAGATGTTTCAAAACAGGGTCACACACATTTGGGTCTATTTAAAGGTGTGCGTGGAGCGTGCGGTCTTTCCGCAGCCCCGCAGAGGGTGTCTGTGACCACGGGGCTTTGGGGAGGTTGTCAGGAGGCGAGGCGGGGCTGCCGGGGCGCCCTCTGCTGTAGGCGGCCGGCCGCGCGCAGCCGTAGACTCGCGGCTACCTGGGGCCGTCGGGGCTCTCACTGCGCCACATAGCGGCGGCGGCGGGAACGGCGGGGGCGTGCGGATCCGAACCCCCGCCCGGGGCCTCCCGGCGGCCGAGACAGCAAAGGGTTAAACTGTCAGCGGCGCGATGTTAAACAGGTGTCAAAGGCGCCCCATATATCTGCAGATTGAAATCAAATTCTTTGCCGTATAAAAAGATAAATTACCCAGGCGCTGCCGCGCGTCCCACTCATCACGCCAGCGCCAGACGGCAAGCAATTTTTTTTTTTAATGTGCTAACGACCTAATCAAGCAATCAAGTCGGAGAAGATTGCAGAGTGACCCGGGCAGCCATCTGCCGGCGAGCCCCGCATTCATTTCCCGCGCCCCCGCGCGGGGTGGGGGCTGGGGTGGGAGCTGCCGGGGGGAAGAGGGGAAAAAATCCTAAACAAATTAACACCCAATTTTCCCCGTCTAATTAGTTAAATGAGAAGTGTTTGGGGTCCCCCGGGGAGGGGGAGCGGCTCGCGGCGCGGCTCGCGCTGCCTCCCCAGCATTAATTAGTGCGGGTCAATGCCGCGGCTCCCGAGAGAGCAGCCGCTTTAATTTCCCGTGATATTTCAGTGCCTGAGGCCCATCGATTCAAACAGAAATTAACTTATTTTTCAATCAGCCCAGGGCTGCCCCTGGGGGTGACTCTTCTTTTGCCGCCTCCTGAATAGAGCTGGAGCAATTTTTCATCAAAAGCTGAAACCTCCGCCTCCGGGGGAGGGGGAGGGGCCCGGAGGGAAGGGCGGGGGACCCCGCGCAGGCGAGGGAATGGAAATCGCAGAGGAAACTAATAGATTTTCCCGGAACCCGCCTCTGTCCTCCCCCTCAGCCCCCCACTTCCCGGGGCGTCTCGGCCGTCTCGCCATCCCGGGGGTGAGGTCCCCGAGGGGCCGTGAGGGGGCCAAGAGGGGGCCGTTGGCCGGGCCTGGGATCCTAACAGCGCCCACTGGTTTCTCCAGGGCCTCTCACCTGCTTGAGGGACAGTGCAGCTGTCCCTAGGGCTGACTCCTGGCAGCTGCCGGAAATCTCAGAAAAGCTGCTTTGGGAGACCAAGGAATCTACCTTCCCCCAAGCACCAGCTTGGAGTGCTATGGACACCCCGAGGGTACCCCATGCCCTGTACCAGTCAGCTTTGGGGCCAGAGAAACAATCTCTAGGGTGCCCCCCACTGCACCTTCCTAGGTCTGCACCCCGCTTTCTCTGCACACCAGGAGAATTTTGTCTTCTAACCTGAGGGATGGATGCCCAGCTCCCCTAAATGTCATTCAGGGTTAGATCCAAAACTGTGGGGGAGAGGGTGAATGGAGGATGGAGGGCAGAGGAGGGCTTAGCCAGGATACGGCAGAGAAAGGGGGCTGACTCAGGCCTCCTGGGAGTGTGTCCCCCGGCTTCCTGATCCCTAGGTGCAATGCCCTTTGCTGCCTGGGTCCACCCTCGCTCGCTTCCCAGACAGCTCTGGCCCCTGGAGTTGTGGTGGAGAGGGAGCCCTGAACAAGAGGTGCGGTTAGTCCAGCCCTTGGAAGGCATTTGTCCCTCTGCGAGTCACAAAGAGATTCTGTTTATATGCTGGAGGCATGCACACTTGCAAGAGAGCTATCCAGGTGGGGCTTCTCAGAGGCGAACTGAGGACCATGCTGGGGACTGTCCACCTGCAAGACCCTGTCATGAGACCTCTATTCCATCACCTTAGAACTGCTTCGATTTAAAAAAGAAAAAGGGGCACCTGAGTGGCTCAGTCTGTTGAGCGTGCCGACTTCGGCTCAGGTCATGATCTCACAGTTCGTGAGTTCGAGCCCCAGGTCAGGCTCTGTGCTGACAGCTCAGAGTCTGGAGCCTGCTTCCAATTCTGTGTCTCCCTCTCTCTCTGCCCCTCCCCCACTCCCCACTCACAATGTGTCTCTCTCTGTCTCTCAAAAATGAATAAAC